CACAACAGAGGCCTCATTGGCTATGACCCAATTGGCAGACTAGACTCCACCCCTTCACTCTTAATTCTCTCAAGTCCCAAATTGATACCAGATTATGTAACTACCACAGACCGTTTCAAATTCTACACTGAACCAGATTTTTAATCCCTGCCACACATTCAAGGAAGCTTCAAAAAGTCTGTGGAAAATGGAATTAAAAGATGATGGAATTATTCCATGAACTTTTTGAATCTGCCTCATATTCACAGCCCAGGATCCCCAATGCTATTCATAAAAAGGACTCATAAAAGATTTTAGGCAGATATTTACAGAAAAAAAAGGATTCTCTTTGCATATTTGAGTAAAATATGAGTAAAACTATGACCTTGGAGTTATAACAAGTACTTTCATATTACTAATATCTCCTCATTAATGCCATTTTGTACTGTCATTTGATTAGTCTGGCTCCTATATTTGGAAACAATTTTCATCATTACAAATAGTGGCACAGAGAACACATTAGGCCCATTAAACTAAAGGGCAAAAGTGAAAATATTTTTATTTGAAGAGGAAAAGTCATAAATTATTAACTCAAAATTAGCTCTGGATTTAGTTTTCTGTGTATGTATAATGATAACTGTTATTAGAATAAGTCAACCTCATTAATCCAAGGAGGGGATCTTTGAAAATGAAAATTTTTCTTATCCTTGGACGAAGTTTATAAAGTCCTCGTGCAACGGAAGCTGTGTATAGATCTTCTAAAATTGAGAGAAATGAAAAATGTATGGAGTGTATTCATAAATATTGAATGAAGGAAAAAGTAGAAGAGAAAAAAAATAAAGGTCAAAGAGAGGGAGTGGCAATGACTTTGTGGGAGACGTGCCCTCATTAACATAAACTTTCTGCACCCCAAGGTTCCTAGCTAATCTTACAGTTACAGTTTCTGGCACCAATTTGATTCCATATAGAGAGTTTTTTAAAGGTTATCCTCCCCCCCCCCCTTACTACTTAAGTTAAACTGTTGTTTCATTTACGATTATTTCTGGTTTAAATGGAAATATGATCTCAGAGCCATAGTCTCAGAAGGTCATGCACCGTTCATTACTCCAGAAAGTAAAGAGCCCATGAAAATTTGGAATGCTGCATTTCCCCTTTCAATCAGAACTACCCTATGAAACTGTTACAAATCCATATATAGTTTTTTAAGGAAAATATGCATACATATGCATATTTTTTATTAAAGAAAACAAACTAGAAATTCTTGGCAAATAAAGGAAAAGTGTTTTTAGTTATCTCTACTTGAAACCAGCACTGGGCACAGAAATGTTTTTAATTGCCTTGAAAATTCAAATTTGGTGATTACATCCAACATATAAAAGCAGGGTTTACCTTGTTATTTTGCTGACATGGAAACTTTTTAACACGTGTTTCAGAAGTTCGGCTTTTTGAGTGATCTGGTGACCTACTTAAGAAAGCAAAAGCATGACAGCGTGTCTCCTGGGTTTGTTAACACCAGCAGTGCTGTAACTTTATGCCTTCTTAATGGGAAATTATGATACAGAAAAATGGATCACATATTTGTACAGGGCATTTCTTTAGCGTTGGTCACAGCACACTTTCTGCCTGTCCTCTGAGTTTACCTGTTGGTTTACTGTGTCGTAGTCATTGAACGCTGAAGAATGAACAGAGCTCAGGGGAGAAATGAGTTTTAAACTCTGGTTGCAAACATGGAGTTATTTTTCAAGTTCTGAGTTGTGGTTTCTGGAAAGCAACACTATAACAGGGCATTTTGTTTACACAATTTAAAAATAATATCTAAAATTGGAAGATCCTCAAGTATAATTAGAGGCATTTCTAGATAGATTTAGTAGGATTTGAGTGCAAAATACACACTTTTCTTCACTACATGGGTATGTGGAAAAATGGAAGGGAAAAATAATTTCCTGCTAACTTTTTGAAGCTCTGCTGTATGTCACCTTATTATTTCGCTGCTTTCTGGCAACATTCTGTCCACTACAGTTTCGGGAAAGGAAGCTGGAATCTATCCTTGTAGATATCCTATGTCAATCCCAGTACTTGGTGGCACAAAAGCAAAGGAGTGGGAGAGAGGATGGTTTGAAGACATAGGGCAAAGAGTTCCTTGTTTCCCCCACTGTGCAGCGGGGCATCATTCGCTGGTTGCTGTATGTCTTGATTGGGGGCTGTGGAGGATGGCTGCTGAGAAAACCCGCGGGTGGGCGGAGGTCTAGGCTCAGAATGGAGAGGTCACAGCACAGGTTGAGGGAAACAGGGAACTAGGAATTTTCCAAATGAGTCCAGAACTCACATTTTGGAGAAGAAAAGGGAACGGGAGAGGATCATTGAGCCTCCCTTTCCCAAGGAAGCGGAGAGACTTAAAGTGATTGCTGCAGTGAGTTGTTGATCAGATGGTGTGTTAGTCTGGGTAGATTAGAGAAACAAATGCATAGACAATTGTATGTGTATAAGAAATAGGTTTATATACAAGAGCAATTGAATATTGAGAAAACATCCAAGCTCAGCCCAGATCAAGTCCATAAGTCTGATACCAATCTACAAAGTCCTCTTCAGATTCAGGAAACAAATGCAATGATGCAGAATGCAGGAAGATCACAGACCAATGGGTGGGAAGTCTTTTGGATCCAGTGGTGTTGTAAGCATATCAGCGCTGACAGGGGTCTCCATGTGCCTTCTCCAACTCAGGGCAGTAGTGTAGTCCCATCTGTCTTGTCAGCTGCTATGTCTTCCAGGGTGTGAGCCAAGAGAGAGTGTATCTCCCACCTCCAAAGAGGAAATACAGGAGTTCTCAGAATTCTCAGGAGAAGGCCATGCTCACAACAGAGGCCTCATTGGCTATGACCCAATTGGCAGACTAGACTCCACCCCTTCACTCTTAATTCTCTCAAGTCCCAAATTGATACCAGATTATGTAACTACCACAGACCGTTTCAAATTCTACACTGAACCAGATTTTTAATCCCTGCCACACATTCAAGGAAGCTTCAAAAAGTCTGTGGAAAATGGAATTAAAAGATGATGGAATTATTCCATGAACTTTTTGAATCTGCCTCATATTCACAGCCCAGGATCCCCAATGCTATTCATAAAAAGGACTCATAAAAGATTTTAGGCAGATATTTACAGAAAAAAAAGGATTCTCTTTGCATATTTGAGTAAAATATGAGTAAAACTATGACCTTGGAGTTATAACAAGTACTTTCATATTACTAATATCTCCTCATTAATGCCATTTTGTACTGTCATTTGATTAGTCTGGCTCCTATATTTGGAAACAATTTTCATCATTACAAATAGTGGCACAGAGAACACATTAGGCCCATTAAACTAAAGGGCAAAAGTGAAAATATTTTTATTTGAAGAGGAAAAGTCATAAATTATTAACTCAAAATTAGCTCTGGATTTAGTTTTCTGTGTATGTATAATGATAACTGTTATTAGAATAAGTCAACCTCATTAATCCAAGGAGGGGATCTTTGAAAATGAAAATTTTTCTTATCCTTGGACGAAGTTTATAAAGTCCTCGTGCAACGGAAGCTGTGTATAGATCTTCTAAAATTGAGAGAAATGAAAAATGTATGGAGTGTATTCATAAATATTGAATGAAGGAAAAAGTAGAAGAGAAAAAAAATAAAGGTCAAAGAGAGGGAGTGGCAATGACTTTGTGGGAGACGGGAAGAGCGGACTCCGTGGAAAGGGCTTGCTGTGTCAGTAGACCCAGCGTCCTAGACTTTGTCTTCAGCATCATTAAATCCCTCATCGCTTTCAGGTGCAACAACAACAACCAGGTGCCTCTACTCTTCTTCAGACCACGCTTCTTTCCGAGTTGTCAGTGTTCTGAGCTGGTTTGTTTGTGAGTTTAGGTTGAAGGGTCAGGTAAGGACTGTGATTTCCCTGAGAAGATGAACTTCTTTAGTAATTATCCCTTAGCACAGATGTTCTTAGCAGCCAACCTTGCTGGGGCAATTAACCCTGTGAGGAATCTAATTTATTACCTAAACCTATGAGTTTATTCCTGTGGTCCCCGTTATAAGGATGAGAGAGTTGGGACAAAGAAGGAGGCAGCAGGTTGTCCATGGTTAGGCTTAGCGAGGGCCGGAGCGAGACTTAGAATTTCGCATCGTCTTCCTATACAGTTGATGAGACTTAACGGATTGTCAGAAGATCCCTGTAAGTACCTTGCCAGTCACAAAGATGCTGGCATTCCTTGAGGAGCTGAGGTAACTGATGGGAAGGGGAAGCGGCCATGGGGATTTGGGGAGATGGAGATCCCGGAGGGCATCTCAACCCACCTGCACTCTTTTTCTTCCTTCCTGAGCGTTTTTTCCCCCGGGCTACAGAGACTGGGGGTTTACTGCTTACCTTTCTCTTACAGCCATTTTAAATAGAGGTCAGGGAGAGGGCAGAGCTGTGGTGACTGAGGATTTCTCTCATTTTCTAGAAAGAATTTGAAGTTTCTTTCTCCCTCTCTTCTCCTATTGCCCATCCCCTATCACGATGTCCGGCACGTAAACTCAGTGCCATCGGTCAATTCTGACTCATGGTGTCCCTGGTGGGGGATAGTGGGTTACACATTGAGTGGCTAATCACAAGGTCTGCAGTTCAAATCCACCTTCTGCTTTCATAAGGAATTACAGCCTGGGAAACCCGGAGGGGCAGCCCTGCTCTGCTCTATGGGCTCACTCTGAGAACCGACTCCACGGCAGGGAGTGTGACTAGCAGAGAAGTCCTCCAAAATGTTTGTTTAATTGAATTGCTTCCTTCGAGAGCATCAGCTGTTCCAACTCAATCAGGATTCCGCCTCCTGCCCCCCCACCCCCCCCAAAGCAGGGCACATGGAGGAAAGGGAGCACAAGAAACCGCTGAGTGCTCTCCCTTCCCGGAGCCCCTCTGGCCTGCTTTATTGCTGTCCCTTATGACCACCTAGAATGACAGCCGTTTTTCTTACAGAAGAAAAAGGAATGTGTGAAATGACCAGAGTCTACTTCAGGTTGCACCTGTGGGGCAAGGTGGGAGGGTCCCGTGGGGTTTCCATGGCGATGAATCTAATGGACGCAGGCTGCCTCCTCCTGCTCCCACCTGTGGCTGGTGGGCTTAATCACTGACTCTTCAGCCAGGCACCACCGGGACGCCTCCTCTACAAAGGCAGGGCTCTGTCCGCGCGCGCATGGGACGAGGGACGGCATCTCGATGCAGCACGCAGCAGCCCACAACTGGCCCCGCGACCCTTGTCATTCCTTTTGAGGGGGGAGCTCCTTGTGGCCCTTTCTCTTTTCCTTCCTCTCTCCTCCCCTTCCGCTCTCTTTCTCCTCTCCCTTCCTTTACTCCTTCATTCTTTTAAAACACCACACCTGATACATAAACGCCTTTTCACGGTCAAAACATGGCCTCCAACCCGTCTGTGACCAGGAGCGAGTTGAGTGCGTCTCTCATTCCAGATTTGGGGTCTGCAGGTCCTTACTCTGGATTGAAGTCAACAGAGCTGCGGGTATGTGACACACTGGCGACAATATGGTAGTGCCATATGGTTACACCTAATATGCTTAAAAGTACGGAGGTATATTATTCGTCTATTACATACACAGCATCTGCTTCCTTGCTACTCCCTTTTCTCATTTAAAGGTTTTCTTCTGTGCCAGACACAGAGAGCCGTGGAGTTGTTTTAACTGCGGCATCCCACCGTGAAGAATGATTGATTATGTGACCGCCCTCTGCTGATAGGGTGGGCAACTGTTTTAAGATTCAAAGAGATGATATGAGCTCTTTGTACACCTAGCATAGTGCACACGTGTGACTCATTTTACAAGTATAATTGCCTAAAAGTAGACGAGCCAAGTCCACTTTTAAGTTTGATGGACAGGTTTCTCTTGAAAGAAGGCTGTTCTAATCTACGTCCACCGACAATGCTTCATAGATCCAGTTTCCCCCAGTGTTACTCACACTGGATAGTATTGCCTTCTTTTGCAAATTCATTGTTTTTAGATTTCCTGGATTATAGTGAGATTGAATGTCTCTTGGCCATTAGCATTTCTGCCATGAATTGCACCTCTGTATGAGTATGAATTGCATCTCATTTTAATGTTAAGGCAGTTGTCTTTTTGTTAATGTTGAAAGAGCTCTTATGACTGATAAGAACTTTGTCTATCACATATGCTGTAATTATTTCCTCTCACTTTATCGGATCTCCCTCTCGCTGATTTTGTTCATGGTATGTTTCTTTCCTACAGAAATCTACATGAGGGGGCGGGGGGCTTAATTAGAGAGTTCATTTTTTAGCCTAAGATAATGGAACTATTTTAAGAGTATTTTCATATGTAGATAGTGACCGTTGCTGTAGAGCACTGGTGCATAGTGGTTGCCCGCCGGGCTGCTGACCACAGGCTCAGCAGTTTGATTCCACCAGCCCCTCAATGGCAGAAAGATGAGGCTGTCTTCGCCTGTACGCATTTACAGACGTGGACACGCAAAGGAGCGGCTATTTTGTCCTGTAGCTCCCTCGGAACTGGAATAGCCTTGATCGCAGTGGGTGGAAGGAACTAATTTTACCTTTAATATTGAGTAGTCCGTGTGTTTACTGCTGGCTCGAAATGCTCGTTACATAAACATTCGCTACGTTTTCATTTGCAGAAGAACGTTAGAAGCACGTCACATGCTCTAACGAGTCCTGTTGGGCGTCTCATTGGGATTCGCTTGGCTGAAATTCACAATCATCATCGTTCTTACTTCCCTGAGTGGATACTCTGTGCTTTATATTCTTTGTAAAGATGCTTTGTAAGCATCATTTTCTATACCGCTTTCAATTATTTAATGAGTTGGCTCTGCTGGTCTCATCATCCAATAAGGAAATCCAGGTTTAGAAAAGTTAAGTAATTTGCTAAAGGACACTTGATGAGTAAATTGCTGCCTCAAAAACGTAATCATGACTTGACTGGACATCAGTACCTGCCTCTTAACCACTATGGAATACAGTAATTATCTTTGAAGTGTTTAGAGGGACAGAGTACATAACATCAAGAAAGAGGCTAAATCTCTTTGCTTTCTTGTTGACTGACTGTAAAAGCAGATGGCCATAGGCTATGGCCACTAGGGTGCGTAAGAGGACAGTCCAAGGACAGGAGTCCTCAGGTGTGGCGTGGAGGACAAATTCAGGTGTGTGTGATTAGAAGATCAAGGTGGGAAAAGCATTGGCGGCATTCCTTGAGTAAAGACCAGGGAAATGCTCAGCAGGCGCCTAGGAGGGCAGCAATTACCAGGTGCAGCAAGGCACCTGTAGAATTAGACCCCTTCATGCTAAAGTCTGCCAATTTTATCTCAACCCCTTTTCTTCCTTCTCAAGAGCATCTTAAAACCTCACAGTCTGCAAGTGAACACATGATTATATGTGCTAACGCATCTGCATAATAAAGTATGCATTCATTAAAAATGATAGTATATAGGATATTTAAGAAAACGTCCTAATTTTAAAAAAGCTGCCTTTGAAACAGTAAGCTTAATATGGCTTAATGTTGCCTTAAGAACAAATGCTGTATAAACATTCAAACCGAAAGATAATAGTGATTAATATTGTGCTATATAATAGAGTAATATATAAAAAATAATATAATATATAATATAATAATATATAATAGTGATTAACATTGTGCTATATTTCCCAGTTAAAAAAAATAATTGGGGGCTCATACAACTCTTATCACAATCCGTACATACACCAATTGTGTCAAGCACATTTGTACATTCGTTGCTCTCATCATTCTCAAAACATTTGCTCTCCACTTAAGCCCTTGGCATCAGCGCCTCATTTTTCCCCCTCCCTCCCTGCTACCCCTTCCTTCATGAACCCTTGATAATTTATAAATTATTATTGTGTCAGATCTTACACTCTGACGTCTCCCTTCACCTACTTTTCTGTTGTCCATCCCCCCAGGGAGGAGGTTATATGTGGATCCTTGTAATAGGTTTCTTCTTTCCACCCCACCTTCCTTCCACCCTCCCGGTATTGCCACTCTCACCACTGGTCCTGGATTCCCTGTGTTTCCAGTTCCCATCTGTGCCAAGGTCATCCTCTCCCAGACTACTTGACTTGATGACTAGTGCTATGTTTGCAAATGGGTGTGTGTGTGTGTGTGTAGTGGGGGTGGTGAAACCCAAGAAAATACAAATAGTGGGCACCTTATGATGGGGCTCCATTTCAACAGCTCTGTTGTAAGTCAGTTTTGATGTAAGTGGAATATCTCATTAGTAAAATAAGTTTTCATTAGAAAAAGGTTTCATTATTGTCTTTTATTATCAATATCTTTATACATCTTATCTTTAACTTTGTCTTTAGGATAGAATTATTACATGTAACTTATAGATGCAATGACACCAGCAAATGACATGCTGATATATATAAAATCTCCACTGCCATTGAATTAGTTTTGAGTTAGGGTGACCCCATTCATGTATATAATGTATATATCTCCTATTTAGGATAGACCATGTAATAGTTCGGAAGCCGATATTCTTTTTTTCCCCTGTTAGTCTTAAGAAAATCCTGCACAGGCAGTGCACAGCAATGGTTCTCAAACTTGGTTCTTGGGTCAGCGGCATCAGCCTTCCCTGGGCCCTAACCCAGACCTACTGTATCGGAAACAACACAGCTGGACTTAGCCATGCATACTTTAACAAGCCCTCCTTTAGGTTATTTTAACACGTGTTGAGGTTTGAGAATCACAGGTTTAAAGAACTAATACTGTTTTCTTTTCAGCCATGAATTCCTGAATTTGTCACATTAGTGTGCTTGACTTACTTGCATGTGACTCCCTCTCCAGGAATGTCCGCACATCCCTCTGTGGGGCCACAGAAGCCTGCATCCAGGTGATCCACACCTTCCTGCTGCTCATGCCCCGGTCTGCAGCGACACTCTGCTTCCTTGGTCCCCTCATTCATTACACACTGGGCAAATTTACCGCAGGCCAGGGCTTTGCAGGGATCTGCTTGGTCAGCTGTAAGAGACAGGGCAGATCTTTATAAATGCATGATGCCAAAGCAGTGGAACTGGCAGAAGGTGATGGCAGATCGGAAGCATTTGCCCTCCCCTCGTTTGGGAGTGGGTTGCGCAGGAGGGATAACAGTTTTGAGTGAAAAGAGAACTTCAGACTTCCGCATCTTTGAACCAAGAGATTGCAGCCATTATGACGACATATTTATCCCCAGATGGTATGCACAAACGTTGCTGTGCATCACAACCCCTAGCAGCCTTGTTAGCATATAGACTGCTGAGCCCTGCCATCAGAGTCCCTGGTTCAGGGGACTCAGGATGAGGGTGGAGATTTTGAATTTCTAAGAACATCCCTGATGATGCTGACGCTTCTGATACGGAGAGCAACTGCTGTAGGAAGGAGAGGGTTTGGGGCACAACTGCTTTAGAAAGTAGAGGTTTTGTTGTTGTTCTTTTTGTTGCTGTTAGCTTTTTTTTTTAAGGTAGGCATACATTATAAACTTATTTTAGGACCTCTATATATTTAATCACTGCTATCAAGTCAGTACTGACGGACAGTGACCCTATAGGACAGGGTAGAACTGCCCCTGTGAGTTTCTGAGACTGTAACTGTTTATGAACGTATACATAACTAACTCACTGTCATTGAGTAGAACTCATAGCGACCGTACCTAAACGACAGGGTGGACCTGCCCCGGTGAGTTTCTAAGACTGTAAATCTTTACGGGAGTAGAAAACCCCGTTTTTCTTGGGGGAAGTGGGTGATGGTTTCGAACTCTGAACCTTGAGATTAGCAGCCCAACACGTAACCACCAGCACTCCATTTTATACATAGTAATCAGTTATTACTGTGGACAATCTTGAGAACTCAGAATGATTCCTTACTTGAAATTTAATTCCTCACAATTGTTTGCTGATTCCAAGGATCCCTGGTAGGCAGGGGGTTAAGTGCTGCCTTGCCAAATGGGAGGTAAGTGCCTCAAATCCACCAACCGCTCTGTGGGAGAAAGAGGAGTCTGTTGGTCCCCATAAAGATCAACAGTCTCAGAATCCTAAGGAGCAGCTCTGTCCTGCCCGAGAGGGCCATGATGAGTCAGAACTGACTCCGCAATGATGGGTTTTGGGGTTTTTGCTGGTCGCTGAGACTTTAATGTGAGAGATTCTTTCCTATGGGGTAATCACTCCCTCCTATTAAAAAGAAAAGACTTCTTGTTTCTGTTCTGCTTTGATCATTAGTTGTTCTGTATTACTTTTAATTTCATAGTTACTTTAAATTCTTTCAGGAGTAACCTATACTCAGGCAAGGGCATGTCAGAAGGTTTCAGCCCTTGCCTGTCTTTCTCGAGCTGCACACACTGACCTCTGGGGCCGAGACTGCAGTGGTCTCGGATGGAGCTAGAACAGGCTGCTTGCTCCCAGGCCCCAGTGCTTCCTGCCCTGGAAGGGTCTCCTGGGGAAGCACGCCCACCATTTATGCTCAGATTACTCTTTCAATAAGCATCTACTAACACTTATTCTGTCGAAGAACTGCAGGGCAGGCGCGTGTGTTTTAGACAGTTCTCCTTGGCAAACCTGGGAGCACTTCTTCTCTGTGACTCCCCTTGATTCCATAGGATTGGGTTCTTCTACGAAGCCTGGGGAAAGCTAACTGGGAATGTACAGGGTCATTCTAGACCAGGAGCCCAGTCCCTTGTCTAGTCCACGAGGATGAGGTTAGAGGAGAGACCATGGTGGAGGGCAGGGCTCTGAACCCTGCTTAAAGAGGGGCTGCCTTTGTATAAGGAACCCAAGTGACACGGTGGGTAAAGTGTTCGATGCTAACCGCAGGTGGGCAGTTAAAACTAGCAGCTCCTCAGAAGAAAGGTGTCGCATCCGCTTCTCTCCAGATTCCCAGCCTTCGAAACTCCCCGGGGAAGTCTGCCCAGGTGGTTGTTCTGAATCAGAACGTGGCTGGAGAGTTTGGTGTGGTGTGTTCTTTGGTACCTGGTACAAAGGCATTCCAACTGGGGAGGGTAGCTGACCTCCCCAGAGGGTTTGTTTCCTAAAGCTGGCTGTGTTAAAGGGTCCTTGCCACTCCATAGAGAAAAGCTCTCACCTGCCGCGACCACCCAGGTGATTTCACCTCCAGGGTCTGGTTCAGTAACTCAGCTGTCGGCAACTTCAGGGCCATCGTCCTGAAAACCAGGGGCAGCCCTGTCCCTCTCTCTCTGCGTGGAGAAATAGGTTGAACCAAGCATGCATGGGTTTTGCCCCACTGAAGAGCAATAGGGCGTTTTTGATCACAGAAAGCATTAATTAATTCAAAAGAGTTTCCCCGTGAAAGTAAAGGTTTCTGTTTGGCCAGTTTCCTGCAGCTGGCCAGGCATAGACCCCGCCTCCTCCACAGACTCTCCTCTAAGAGAAGGGAAGGGCATCATCCGAGAACAGAATTTTGCCCACACTGGGGGGCCGTGAATCAGCTATATTTGAAGAACAAAGGCACATGTCATTTATTCATGAGCAGCCTGCAGAGGAGATGCAGAAAGCGTCAAATAAACCCAGCTCAGGTTTTGTTTGCTAGTGATACATATTTTTTGAGGTACTAAGACAACATCCGTTCATTCAACAAGTGTTATTCATTCAACCAATAGTTATCAGTTGGGCCCTTCAAAGCCTGCGACACTAATCATTTCAGACCAGCATATTGCATTAAGTTTATATTTTTATCCTTATGTGAAAATTCGGATTTTAGATAGATGGAATTTTAGACATAAGGTATTCTTTGAGTTTATTTACATGAGTCTCCCTGACTTTGTAGACGAAGAGGCTGCGACTCAGTGGACTTGGACTTTGCCAGGGCCATGGATGTGGGTGCCCGTGTTCAGAGGACCACTCATCCCTTGGTGGACTGTGAAGGGAAGTCACTACAAAGGAAAGGGCCACACGGGGGAGCTATTGGACCACCCACTAATGTGGCCCATGCAGGCAATTACCAACTGATTAGAATTAGAATGGAAAGAGACCAATTTTTACAGCATTAATTTGTGAAACAACACATACTATTGCGACTTCCACTGCCTGAAGAACATTCTTTTTTTAAAAATCGTTTTATTAGGGGCTCATACAACTCTTAATACAATCCATACATCCATCAACTGTACATTTGTACATTCATTGCCCTCATCAGTCTCAAAACATTTCCTCTCCACCTAAGCCCCTGGCATTAGGTCCTCATTTTTCCCCTCCCTCCCCTCTCCTCCCTCCCTCATGAGCCCTTGATAGTTTATAAATTATTATTTTGTCATATCTTGCCCTGTCCGACATCTCCCTTCACCCACTTTTCTGTTGTCCGTCCCCCAGGGAGGAGATCAGCTCCCTCTTTCCAACCCATTCTCCCTCTACCCTCCCAGTATCGCCACTCACACCACTGGTCCTGAAGGGATCATCTGCCCTGGACTCCCTGTGTTTCCAGTTCCTATTTGTACCAGTGTACATCCTCTGGTCTAGCCAGACTTGCAAGGTAGAATTCGGATCATGATAGTGGGGGCGGGGAGGAAGCATTTAGGAACCAGAGGAAAGTTGTATTTTTCATTGTTGCTACATTGTCCCCTGACTGACTCGTCTCCTCCCTGAGACCCCTCTGCAAGGGGATCTCCAGTGGCCTACAAATGGGCTTTGGGACACTCTGCACTCCCCCCCTCATTCACTATGGTAAGATTTTTTGTTCTGATGATGCCTTATATCAGATCCCTTTGACACCTCATGATCGCATAGGCTGGTGTGCTTCTTCCATGTGCGCTTTGTTGCTTCTGAGCTTGATGGCCGCTTGGTTACTTTCAAGCCTTTAAGACCCCAGACGCTATAATTTTTGATAGCCGGGTACCATCAGCTTTCTGCCTGAAGAACATTCTTCCTATATAGGTTGAAAGCTCCCTCTACGTACAGGTCATCCTGCAGGGATGGCTACAACGCTGGGCTTTAGGCCACAGCTGAGCCCTGCATGGGGGCTGTTTCTGGGGTGAAAATGCCTTGGGAGAGATGGAAGAGAAGAACTTGGGTCTAAGGTGAACGACATTTTAAGGAGCAGAACTTTCTTTAGCAAAGCTTTCCCTATGCTGTTACTTCATTTCTTTGCCGTATCCCCAAAGGCATTTTTTTTCTCTCAGAAAGATGGATTCATCATTTGAGAGCTGTACAAATATTTGTCTTTATCCCATAACTCATCCCTGGGTAAGTTTACAAAACAAATTATTCTGAACTCCCTCCTCTGCTCTTGATTTGGTCAATATTAATAATGTAAACACGATGTCACTAGATGCTCTCTTCTGGACATGATCTCAGACTTGTCAAGAGGCAGGAAGAGCTATCAGTGTACTTCCGTCGGTGGAGTATTAGGAAGAGAACAATTAGCTGCCCTTTCCTAGAAGAATATTTTTGAGTCATAATCCAACTGAAGACTAATGGGTCTGTAATTGCCTTAGCTTCCTGGATTTGCATAGATCTCCTTTAAAGAGCTCATTTTTATGGTTGGCACTAGCGGGGATTCATGAGTCTGTACCTCACTTAATAAACACCTACTATGGTTTGGGGCATCCTCTGGGCTGACAGTAATTGCTTACTGGCAATATTTCTTCATTTTCTATCCTCGGCCCATGTGGATCTCTCTTTTGCAGAGCAACTTTGACAATATGTCTGAAGAGGCTGCCCAGGGCGTTCAACCTAAGTGAGTCAAGAAGTGTCAGGGGCTGATTGGCAGCAGCAGGGGCCCGGGCGGCAGGTGGAGTGGTGAGGAGTTGTGGTGCTAACCATAAGTGTAGTGGTCTGAAACCAGCAGAAAGAAGCGCTTTCTTCTCCTGTAAAGAGAGAGTCTCAGAAACTCATCGAGGCAGTTCTACCCCGTCCTCTAGGGCCACTACGAGGCACCATCGACTCTATGGCAGTGAGATGCTGAGGGATTCCCAGCTCTCCGAAGTCCTTGTGCTTCGTGTGTGGATTCTGGCCATAATCAGGACCCTGATGTCATTT